GAGCCAATCAGGTAAGGGTGGGGTACACAGGGCTAACATATAAAGACAAACAACCATTCCTGCTCACAGTTGCCAATTAAACTAAACTGCATGTCTTTGGACTGTTGGAGAAAGTCGAAGTATCCAGATGAAACCTATGCATGGGAGAACAAAACTCCACACAGAAAGGCTTTGGCAAACCTCGAACATTCATGCTGTCAGGCGACAGTGTTAACAGCTCCACCACTGTGCCAGTCTTGTTAGATGAATGCAAATTAAAAGTAGGAAGGAAGCTTAATTTTTTCTTCTGAATTAAGTTAGTGGGACTTAACTGAAAAACTTACAAAATAGAATTTAGGAAACCAGACAGACAAAAAAATTAAATGAGCACAACAAGAAAAATTTAGCAGGTTTCCATTTTATTTAAACAAAGTGCTATTCACAATACGAACAAACTTATACAATGAAAACATAGACACATTCTGACTGCGGGCTGTCTTCAGGTGTGATGGATAATACCCCAGGAGGAACCTGTTTGATTCTGCAATGTCATCTGCATCCTGCTGGCATAAAGGAAAGTTGTAAAGATGAGGTAAAAATTGTCCATGCAAACTCCTTTTGTGTTCACAGGGCAGGACCTTCAAAACAGCCAAAATATGCAACACTCACCAAACACACTTAAAAGAATTCACTCTGCAACACTACGGGGTCATAGGCCTAACAGGGAGGAAAAACAAATTAGGGAGAGGCATTATCTGAGCAGAAATGATGTTTTTCCTGTGTGCGAGCAGCATTTACACAACAGAGAAAAATAAAAATGCTCACAATCATTTCAGTCTGGCAAAAGATCTCTGCAAGGGTCCTGCTAACAAACCCCTCTTTTAGATTTTGAGCTCTCAAGAAATAGAAGTACAAGGTCTGACAGAAGTCTTGCCCTGGCTCCTGTGACACCCTTGTGAACTCTGCAACAATCTTCAAGGACAAAACAGAACAAAGGCATCTATTATGTATCACATTAAACAGACCACAATATTCATGTGAATTCAGTCATTTCAGTGAATTCAAGCACAACTTTTAATATGGGTGTACAGTTCTGCATATGAAATAGCATGGCCATAGATGTTTTATCTGGCTGTGACAAACTGAAATGTATTAAATTTGAATAGGTAACCCAGAGATTCAGCACGACTGCGTAGCATACTGTGCAAACGTCCTGTTACGGAGTTACAAGTTACATTTTTCAAATGAACTTAGTTTAATAACGCTTTCATCAAAAACTATTTCATCAAAAAGTACATTACTCAGATTGAAATCAACTGGACACTGAGACTCACATTTTACAATGACGTTTATTCATTTGGCAGACGCTTTTATACATAGCGACTTACAAGTGAGGGACAACACTAAAGCTTCAGTGCAGTAGGGGACCTTGGTGTAAGTACAAAGTATTACTTCCTTTAAATAAATGCAAGAAGATCAGGTAAAGAAGTGCACCGAAAGTTCAGAGTGTGTCCTTGACATGGAGACGTGGTAGGACTTCTACCTGTTACACTTTTTGGAAGATTACACTCAGCTACAGGGCTGAGTGAGGGAGGTGTTGAGCTATTGACCAGAGGAGGCAGAGAGTGACATGAGCGCGATGTGGAGAGTGGTGTGCACTTAACCAGTGGAGACTGGTTGATTCTGAAAGGTTCAGCGAGTTGGCAACTCCCTCCATCTGTACTGAAAAGGTGGTCACCATCTTTTCAGTACAAAGGGAGGCAAAGATATCAACTAAGAGGTTTGTGTCTGATCCACATTACACAATACAAGGAAAGTAGACTCATCTACTTAAACAAAGTACAGGTGTTCGCTTTTTGAGTTTGGTCATGTGCCCCTGGTTGGGAATCACTGTCCTAGAATACCTTTACCATTCTTCTCAAAATAAAGAGACACACAAATGCACACACCAGACACGCACATACTTCTCGCTGAATATTTTTCAGGGCATTAAAAGTCGAGTATGAATGTGTCAGGGGGTACTTTAATTGAATTTTAAATGATTTCATTCACAGTGCTAAACTCTGAGGCTTCTGTATAAATTCTTTGTTTGTCTGAAAATCATTTCAAATTCCTTAAAACTCTAAAAAAAAACTCTGTCTATTATTCTTTTAGAGATGGCCTCCATTTAAATTCAGATAGACCTCTTCCCCGAGGTGCCTTCAGAGGAGGAAATAAAGCAAAGTTTCAGGAGCTAAATGAAACTATAAAAACTCAGGCTGAATAGCCATAAGCAACAACACCTGCATTACTATGCTGGCATTTTACTCTTTCATTTCATTTTCAACACAATATCTCTTGATTTTGGTCAATATTTGTGTGTATTTGTTTTATAATAATCACTAAGTGGTGGTCATATAGTCCTTTCATTTATGAGTAATTACTTATAATATAGGTAACGTACAGTTTTATTTAACAGATCCTACTTTCTGAGCTCATTATTATTTTATAACCGTACCTGAACAGTTGATAAGGTTTATTACCACTGCATGAATAAACAGCTGTATAGCTGCATAAATTCTATGAGATTCATTTCCAGAGGTTTCAGAACCGAGCAACAGTGTGTGAGGGGTGTGAAGTCATTGTGCAGTCTGGGTAGCACATAGTGGCAAAGTATATTGGAATGCTTCAGTCATTATTAGAGTTAATCAGACAGAGCTAAGAGGATTCTAAAAAGGATGATGAGCTCAGGGAAGTGATGAGCTGAGCTGAAAGGAGAAGACCAGTTCACTTAAGGGTTCACATTTTCCTTTTCTGGACTACTATTAGCACAAATAACTGAGAATATGTGGCTGAATATTTTACATAGGAAGAATAGATGAGTCTGCGTTTGTGATATCCTCAGTCTAGGTGCTAGGTGATAGGGCAGGATATGAAATTCAAAGTAATCACTTTTGTCATAGTGGAGTCAAGGGTGCTTTTTATGGCATTGATCATAACTAAAGTGGCAAATAGAACTGCTTTTTTCTTTCAAAACGTCCAAAAACACCAAGTGAAAGAGGAAGCTATGTTGCAGAATGGCCTTCAGAGAAGGGTCTATGGTTTCATACTATATAGACAGTTGTTTTTCTGTATTTGTCAAGTCATTTTTCTGTGCTCAAGGTGATTTCATTTGATTTTGTTTGATCAAAGCCAGAATTTTAAACAGTTTATATTGCCCGAACAACACAAAAGCGATATGGTTGGTTGCCGTAACTCATAAAGCAAAGCCTTACTGAAAGATGAACTCAAATCCTCCATCTTTTGTGGTATGTGTTGAGAAGGACTAGAATGACTGTGCAGTTGCACAAAGGTGGCACAATTTTATCCAAAACTGTGCGAAGATGTGTTGAGAGCAGCTTGTTTCACGGTAACATTATTCTTTGTGCCTGTGGCTGCTTAGGAGGAAAAAAAAAAAAAGCTTATCTCAACGCCACTTCCCTTTCTTAGGATGTCCCCAGCTGGACTCCAGTAGCTTTTGTAAGCTGCCAGATCCAGATGCTGCTTCAGGAGTTTCAGTGTGGGACCAGCTGCATCTCCTTGGAACAGCTAATGTGAGGCAGTAAAGAGACAGTGAATAGCTGTACAAAATAATGTTCCTGGATAAAATGTCACAACTATTATTGCAATTCTGTCAATCAGTATTCACTATAGGGGGTAATTGTGTAAAGGAAAAAAATGCAAAATAATTTGTGATTATCAGGCCATGAATGATGGAGCTATAAGGCAGAGGTCAGGTGTGGAGCCCTCTGAGAATACAGTAGGGTCGAAGTTTAACTAATTTTTGGTTTTAATATGTGAAACATAAATTCTACAAAGTCTGAAGTCAGTTGCCAGCATGGTGTTAGTGGACTCCAAAACACCAAGTACAAATCTTGATTTCCATCTTACAAAGATAGCTTTCTTAAAGTGCTGCTGTTTGTTTAATGTTTATTTTCCTTTAAACTTCAGTAATGCTGGAGATCAAGAGGGGGTGCTTAAATCTTCTCCAAAGATTTCTGCCACAGCACATCCACATATAAGAATCAATAATGTAAGGTCTTATACAAAATATTACATGATACCAATAAAGGCAACTTTTGATGCAGTTTATACTGGAGATATTGTGATGTCAAACACATTTACACTTAAGGCTGCAACTAATGATTATTTTCATTATAATCAGCTGATAATTTTCTTGATTAGTTGATTGATTCTATGTCCAGAAGATTTCAGAAAATAATTTCCAGCAGTCTAATGTAATGAAAAATTATTATTACATTATCAATAGTTGTGATTAAGTTTCTGTTAATTAGTGGACTACTTATTTCAGCTCTAATTAAATAGATTTTCTGTAATGTAGTTGTACTATTGCTTATGTTTGCACTATGCTGTTGGAAAGACAACTGAAAATATAGTGATGAATACTGAAACTGGAATGAGGAGTAAAAACATTGCACGGGATTTCCCTGTGTTTGACAGAGATTTATGTAACAGGATCTGGTGCAGGTGGGCCCTGACCACTTGGGCCTGCGCTTTGAGGATTCTTCCATCCGTCACTGACTGTACTGTCCAAAATCATTGGAATGGCATGGTAAATGTGTCAAATTTAAACTCATGATTCACTGTAATCTGCCAGCTGGCTGCTCTGCGGATTTCAGCATCTGAATTAATACACACGCAACCATGTGTGAATAAAAACATTATGATCACATGAAAAGCTAACTGATTTCTTTTGCTGCGTCCCTTCAGTCACAGCCCCCCCCCCCCCCCCCCCCCCCCCCCCAGTCCTGACCACACACTATGACTTTGCTGTACATTAGACTTGTAAATCAACGTTGGTGGCGAAATTTGCTTAAAATATCGGTTATAAATATGACATAGGACAAAGTAGCGTTTAAGCCTTGAACAAAAAAAAAAAAAAATGCCTACAAACTACAACTTCCAACTTTCAAAGAAGCGCTGACACTAACTTCCTGTTTGCCTGACAGGGGCGGAGTTAACAGCCCCACTGTGCTCCATAATGAAAGTGACTGGCGGACAGGCTGTACTCTACTTTTCATTTTGCAGTTTACAATGCGGGAATCTATACTTTGCCCTCTCAGCTGACAGCATGGAGGATACACAGATAGTTGAACAGCTATACTGACGCATACATTAACCGACCGGTATTTAAATCTGCTGTAAGTCTTTTTTTTTCGCTGTTCAGGCCGTAAGGCACTTAATGTGAAATGCGTGTAGACTTTTCAACAAAAAATATTTCCCTCTCGCCGCTTTGTATTATTTAAGACTGCCAAAAACTTTCCCCCCCAACTTCTTCTTCTTTGCTGTGCAGACTGCAGGTCAACTTTACTGTGGAGATTCAACCCAAACCAAAGTAGTGTCATGTGAGTGTCACTGCTCCTCCAACCCTTCTCTCAGCTGATACAAGCTCTTTATGGCACGGACACAGTACAATAACCATTGTTAATTGCTGTCATACCTCTGTGATTTTTATTTTGCTGTGTCATGTTTTTGTCTGTGTAGACTGAGGTTGCCTGCGAATTGAACGTCAACCATGGTTCAGGAATACCAGTCCCCTGTTCGGGTCTACAAGCATCCATTTGAGTTAATCATGGCGGTGAGTATTGTGGTTATATTCAGTGTCAGTGCAAAGACAAGTTATGTCCTTCCTTACCTAATGTGAAATGACTTAAGACAGCAGTGGATATGAGTGTTATTACTTTGCAGGATCTTACATAACTGAAGTGGAGACTGTGGCTTTGACTCTTGCGCTCCCTTAAACTATTCTCTTTTTGCTCTGATGAAAAAAAAAAAAATGATATAAAACAAAATTCAGAGTTTATACTGGATTCAAGGGCTCAGCTGTGGCAATACACAGAAGACCAGACACTTTCAGAAGTGTGTCTGTAGCTTTGACTGCCTCCCGGGGGCCGTCTGTCTGACCTGTGATATATTTTGTGTGATGAGGGACTGGACAGAATATACAGTAAACACTCTCTTCTCCTGCTGCGGTGGTAAATACAGTAATCGGCGGGGTGCACAGGGTGAAAAAACTTGCTTATTAAACTTTCCGTCTCTTAAGCACCTATAGCAGAGGAAAGTTTCTTTTCATTTAATTCAATTCCAGGCTATGTTATACGCTTCTATAACTGGCCTAGATGATACATCTTTGAACCTGTAACTCCTATAACTCATTAAACCTTGCCTGTTGTCTTGTTGTCATATCATATTTAATGAGAGATCAGGAGGTGAGGAGAACTTGATTTATTTTGTATGATTGTTTCAGTTTCTCTTATTCCTGTGGACATCAGACCAAATGTTCCTTAAATGACGCCACTCTAAGATAAGAGGCCGCCACAACAGTTCGTCATGAGAAATGTCTACAGCTCTATTAACGTAATGGATCAATAACATAACATAAGTTGTTAGTGCAGCAGTTTTCAACAGTCATACCAGGGGAAATCCACTGAAATATCAAGAGAAACCAGTTTCCAAACATTTATTCACCAAATGATAAACTTGCTTTCCTTGAGTGGAAAATGTCTTATTATAGTGAAATTGCTCACTTTGCCTACAACCCACAAACAAATGCTTTGAGTTTATAGAAGAGCAGGAACTCTTCATTACGGAAAAGTAAGACAAAAGTAAAATAAATGTAGGTTTCAATGAGAGGCAGGCAGGTTTCACCTACTTTTACAGTCTGCCCTCGCTGTTTCTTGCTCTCTGCAGTTATATATTAAGCTAAAGACTTATGCAATATCCTCATGGTGGGGTAAAGACCGTGATGCTGCAGTGACCCTTTGCTCTGCAGACAAAAAGTCCTTCACCACATAGGCCCAAGTTAACACCTACATAAGCTTCATTTGCAGTGAAAGATGTCATGTCTAAAATTCTTACTGCGTCACTGCAGATTATTGAAAAGGATCTCAAAATAAGCCTTTTGTGAAAAGTAAATAACAGCTCATATGAAAAGATCCAGGCCTCGGCAGCATAAAGGAAGAGAGACACCAGTGAATAGTCTATCCCCTCCTCCGCTCTCATTTATCTCTGAGCTTTCTCATTAGTCCCGTTGCTGATCCTTCCACTGACAGTTATTACTGTGGCAAACAGTCCTAATCACTGCCCTGGATATTACTGGTCACATTATTGTTGTCCCTTTCATGAAACGTCTTTATCACGTTCTTGGGTTTTTATGTAATAGAAATGCACCGGATTTGATTATGTGCAGATACACTAACCTTTTTGTACGTGGCTGACATTAGCTTGCTAATGTAAAATATAATATATATATATATATATATATATATATATATATATATAATGGTGCAAAATAGTGGAAACTGTTCTGTTTCTGATGTTTGACTTACACAGAGTCTTCCAGGGCCAACTAACTCAATCTGCTCTTCTGTTATTTTTTTGTGCTCCCATTATGTTTTTTATGCTTAAAGCTCTGAGAGAAAAAGGTAGGACAAAGATTTCAATTTGTCTGTAATCAGTGAAACATATTGTTTTTGTTGTGCAGTGTGTCTGTTACAGAACACCAGACACTGCTGCTTATTTGCCAAGGAAACCTTTCCCATTAAATTGCTTAGTGAATAATGTCATCTTATTGATTGCATTGCTGGCATGCTGTGCTGTATCAATACAAGTGTGTGTGTTACTGACAGGCCACTGCCTAAGTGTGATTTTGGAGAGAAAAACAATTGAAAATTCCTCTTTCTTGTGCCTTTGGGCTGTTTTTATAGCCAGAATAGTCGGCTCAGCTCATAAAACTTTTAAAATCATTTGAGTCTTAGGCAACCAGGCTGATTTACTGCATACATGTACCAGATCGGGTTGTCAGTGGTTGCCACATCTAGGGCTCAGAGAACCTCGAGAGTATTAGCAGTAGTGTTGTACCCTGTGGTGAACTAATTTGTTGTTACTCTAAAACATTTAACAGGCAGCTGCTCATATTGTAATGTTCTAGTTCCTTCCTGCCTTTGGTTACTTGTCAGTAGTTTATCCGCGAAAGCTGCACTGCTGCTAGTTACACAGAGTGAGGACTATTTTTGCATATCCTGAAACGCCTGTTCAGCGACTCAATCAATATTGACAGGGTAGCCCAGGTGAAACTGGCTCAGACAGATGGTCATACAGCATGCTGTGGGCAGTAAAGCACACAGCAATCACTGTCTGTAAAAGCTGCCACAGCTGCAGGCAGATGTATTCACATTAACAGTTAAAGCTGCTAACTATTAAATACACAACACCACAAAGTCAACACTAGAGAATCTAGCAATTTCTTTTACTGATTTCCCTGTGATATATTTCTCATTCTCAGGCCTACGTAAGGAGATTCCCAAAGTGCCCACTGATCCCGGTGTTTGTAGACAGTGAGATCATCAGTGAAAACCAAAGTGGGGATGGATCCACGCTGGTAACTGAGAGGCGCTGTACGATCGACATTGATGCTCCACGACTTCTCAAAAGGGTACCCATCCTCTGACCTTTTACTGAGCAAAGGCCATGAAATAATTATAATAAACAGTTACTATAATAAGATATAATGATTCCTTTGGAAGAAGGTCATTTTTAAGGTGATCTTGTATGGCAGTGTTTCATAAAATTTTAACACAATGTCACTATAAACTATGATATCAGAAATCTTCATTGAACATTTTTCATAAGTAATCTGGCATAAATCAAGAGGACTTCCTTTCTCTGCATGTAGATTGCTGGTGTGGACTACCTGTACTTTGTCCAGAGGAACACTCTGAACCGCAGAGACAGGACGCTCCACATTGAGGTTCACAACGAGACCTTTTCCAACAGAGTCATTGTCCGTGAGTGCTGCAACTACTCGGTGAGTCTCAAGAGTTGAACATAATAAGTAATAAATTTCTTTCGTTTTATTGTTTTTGTGGGAAACCTTTACTGTGCTTGGTGATCTGCACTGAGCCCCGCCTAAAGCCAGAACAGTATGTGATGAAAACAACAGGCAGCAAAATATAAGTCACAGTTGTAGACATGGTTGGAACTGCTGCATGTGCATACCAGGGAAGAGCTGGCTTTCCTGTTCAGTGCACAAATTACTCATTTTAAGTGATCCTCCCATAGTGTGCCAAGTGCACTTGTGCCAAAAGGTAGTTACTCCAGTATCAGCCTCCCTATGAGCATGTTCCTGACTTTCCACAACACACCCGTCACCAGCAATATCATTTCTGCTGATACCTTCAGAGCATCATATGAACTATTTAAATTGCTTTACTCTCCCTTGTGTTAAAGTTAAAGTATCAGCATCTGTCATACATTTTAATTTGTCTTCCACAGGTTCATCCAGAGAATGAGGACTGGACGTGCTTTGAACAGACAGCTAGTCTGGATATCAAGTCCTTTTTTGGCTTTGAGAGCACAGCAGAGAAGATAGCTATGAAACAATATGCTGCTAGCATTAAAAAGGTTTGCATCTTTGCACTGACTGTTTATGATACATAGTATATAGATTATACCTCTGCACTAGAAATATTGCATTTGCTTTCAGTATTTGTGTATTTTTCAGATTTTTATCGCATAGTTTTGTCTCCTTCCAATGCTGTAGGGTAAAGAAATTATTGAATACTACCTCAGAGAGCTGGAGGAGGAAGGAGTAACTTACATACCTCGTTGGACACCCGCTGTTGTCTCTGGCGCTGCTGGTGCCGGGCTCCAGCTGCCGCCCCCCTCTACTGACCGAGCCATCCCAGTGAACAATGCCAATGATGAAGACCCGGCCTGTCCCACAGAGCTAGTGGCTGGCTCTCCTGATGGTCAGTGGCTACTCACGAGTCACAATTAAGTACAGAATAGCAGCCAACACATAATACAAAAGTGCAGTGTAAATGTTACAAGTTGTGTGTCATGTATACTGTCCCTTTGTGTCTTATATATATTTACTGAAAGATATTTACAGAGGAGAGAACTAAGTAGCTACAACCTTCCTAGCTAAGCTCTTGAGTAAATCTTCACTCTATTTTCAGCATTGGTGCCTGGGAGTCTGTAAATATTAGCACTAAAAACCTCTTGGTTTTATAGGACTAAATTGAATATTTTAAAAGCTGAATATATGATCTTGTGAATTAAAAAGCCCATGGCAGAGTGTCATGTGTCACAGCAGTGGTTACACCCTAGTGTTTTTCTCTCTCTGGGTTACCAAACACTGCCAAGTTGCATATTGCTAAGTGTCAGAAGTAACAGCAGCAAACTGCACCAAGCTTGCAGAAACATTTTAAGCCATAGCTGTATAGCTCGTAACAACACGCTGGGTTGATAGGAGCCTTAAGCAACATTTTGTTTGGTGGTTCACTGCTTTTCTTTTGTTGCTTTTTTTTTTCTTTTTAAATGCACTGTAGTGAACAGCTGCTGGTGTCTTTGTCTGATGCATGCAATATGTGCTAACTTTACGCTGTACATGTGTTTTTTGCCCGTAGACAAGTTGGATGCTGACTACATCAGACGTTACCTAGGTGATTTAACGCCTCTGCAGGAGAGCTGTCTTATTCGACTGCGCCAGTGGCTCCAGGAAACCCACAAGGGCAAGGTCGCTCACACACAAACACAGTCTACTGAAATACCTAGCTGTTTGTGCAATTCTGTAAAATACACCTTTATTTCTAGACAATCGCTTAACTTAAACATCTGCTTCGCTCCTGCATCCACACCAAACTCAGTTTTGCTGTTCACAGATATATTGTAGATTGCAAATAGAAGATAAGCATCCGTTGGGTGAAAGGTGAAAGAATGTCTTTGCATTTTTCACTAACTATAACTCAAAAACTTTGTATTGAAGTTGTTGCCCCTGCCTGTTGTGTACAGATTCCAAAGGATCAGCATGTGCTGCGCTTCCTGAGGGCCAGAGATTTCAGCCTCGACAAGGCCAGGGAGCTTTTGTGCCAGTCTCTTACCTGGAGGAAACAACATCAGGTGGACTTCCTGTTAGACACATGGCAGCGGCCACAACTGCTTCAGGAATATTACACTGGAGGCTGGCACCACCATGACAGAGGTACTGAGTAAACAATATTTGTCCTTTTTATCTTTACGTCATCTCATTTTCACTTTAGTTCATCGCCTACTGTTAGTGTGCTGAGGTGTGTGTACTGCGAAAGCGCACACTTATCAGTGAATGTAAAGAGGCAGAACGATTTAGTTGTCTGTATTTATAAAGTCCACATGGGTTGAAATAGGCTGTTAATTATTGACTGCAAAGTCTGAGCACCATCTGTTGTAGTTCCTGTGTTTGAAAATGAGTCATTGTTTTTAACAGCTCAGTGAATCTACCTAGTTAGTTGAGGCTTGAACACAGGAAGTGCCATTTGAATGTTAACATGCTAAATTAATAGCTGTTACAATGGTAAATACCAGCTTTACGTAGGCAACGGCAGGGGGGGCTCCTAAGGGATCTACAAATTGACTGCACATTGATTTTACTTTGTTGTGTAATCTGTCAATTTCTGTGTGTGATGTGTGTGTTTAGATGGACGTCCTCTGTATATATTGCGTCTGGGACAAATGGACACAAAGGGTTTGGTACGAGCCTTGGGGGAGGAGGCCCTTCTAAGACAGGTGATGTGAATACATGCACAAGACTTACATACACAGTCTTTTTCTCTTAAGATATCTTCAGTTGTATTAATGCTCCTGCTCTACGACTATGACCCAGGTCCTGTCCATCAATGAGGAGGGACTGAGGCGTTGTGAAGAAAACACCAGAGTCTTCGGGCGACCTATTAGGTGCCTAAATATTTATTAATCTGTCTTTTGTCAGTGTTTTATTAGTAACCTGATAATTGGGTTCACATGCTTGTATGTATATGTATAGTCATGCAGTGTCTGTGTTAACATGTTGGTCAGCTGTTGGACTTGCCTGGTGGATCTGGAGGGTCTTAACATGCGTCACCTGTGGAGACCGGGTGTGAAGGCTCTGCTGAGAATCATCGAGGTGGTGGAAGCCAACTACCCCGAGACTCTGGGTCGCCTCCTCATATTGAGGGCGCCTCGAGTTTTTCCAGTGCTCTGGACCCTGGTGAGAATAAATGCCTGCTCTTATATTTGACGTGCAGCTGTTAATGTGGTTAATCATCCCATCGTGATGGACATGCAGGCTCTGAGGCTGCATCCTCCTCGATAGGAAATCTTAATAGTTGGCTGCAAACCAGCCACATTGAGAATATGAGCAAATGATAAACAACAGAAATAAGAAGGAGGACCAGAGAAAACTAATATCAGCAAATGAAGATAATTATAGCCCTCAGTATGCAGAGACCTAAATGATCCCCGTGGGTTGAATTTGATCATTGCCACAGCAATAAGCAATAGTATAGTTTGTAAAGAGTGATAGCATTCAGCAAAGTAATACAGACGAGTAGTCAAATAAGCACAGAGATATATGAAAATAAACCTAAGCGATAATGAAAGTAATGAAAACGGTGCAGAGTTGAAGCATTATCTAACTTGCTTTAAGATTGAGCTGTTGAAGATGCTACCTGGGGTTATTCCAGAAAGAAATGTTTATGGAACATCCTAACCCTGAGATGAATCAGTTACTGTGGTAACTTACACTGTGAATCCTTTCTCTTTGTCTTCTCTCCTCTTGTTGAGTCTGAAGAAGCTGTCTGACACGCTCTTTCATTTCTGCATTCATACAGTACACAACAAAGCGCAGAAAGGAGCACATTCATTTGCTGCACTCAGTATTTTGTTTGAATGTTTGTAGATGTTGAATGAAGAAACCTAAAAAGGAGTTTGTCCCAATTAAAATTGCAGAATATAGTCACTAATTCTGTATAAAAATTATGCCAAAAAGTATTTACCTTTGCACAGACTCAAAACAAGCGGTAGTGATTGATTCCTGGAAGCATCAATTTTGGGAAACTTTGGAATATTCATTTCATAACCTGAGAAGGAGCTACAAACATCTAAAAATGACAATAATTTCAAAATTGAACTCTCTGGGACAAATAAATTAAAATGTAAGCCGCGATTCTGTGAATAAAGAAATTTTATGTTCTTGATATTATCCTGAGTCATCCCCTGACTTAACGATTCAATAAACATTGCAAACAGTAATGGCCTTATTGGACAGCCCTTTCTGGCCCTCTTTCCAGGAGGAACGAGTTTGATATGGCTCCATTTATTTTTATTCTTGTGCTTGGGCTATTATACAATGCTTGAATAGTTTTAATAAAGGTCTGATGAAATCCAAATTTCTTTAATACTCCAAATAAAAACTCCCAATTGGCTCGATCAAAAGCTTTTTCTGCATTAAGGCTCAATAATGCTGCCTGGAGTTAATTATTTTACTCTATGTTCAATCACGTGTAGCATTCTGCAAATTTTATCAAGCCTGCCTTTGTTGGATAAAACCTGTCAAGACTAGACTTATTATCTGGGGTAGGATTTTTCAATCCTTTTGCAAGAATGTAGGTAAAGCTCTTCTAATCTTGGTTCAGTACACTTATCAGCTGATAACTTTCACATTCAAGTTTATCTTTAGCCTCTTTTGGTGTTGAAGAAATGACAGATTCTCTGCAAGAATGAGTAGTTATGCCAGTCGTTGTATGGTTGTATGTGATCTTCATTGTAAGGGTCAGCACATCTCTCATTTCCTCTTTTTAAATTAGAACAATAGCCTATAATTTTTCCCCCGACTGAAGAACAGCTCTGCATGCATCCCAAAGAATAGGTGGGGACGCACCCATTATCGTTTTCGTCAAGATATTCTTTTATATCAATCCTTATTTGCTGCCTCATTTGATTTAGAATCCCTGTGTTAAGCCTCCAGGTAATGCTCTTCCTAATATTACATCCATAGAAATTTGAGTGTGATCTGACAAATCCATGGTCCCAATATTACAATTTATCACCCTGTATAAATGTCTTTGAAACAAAAAAGTAGTCAAGCCTAGAATAGACAGAATGCAGGTGTGGAAAAAAAAAAAAAAGATTCTCAGATGTCAGATTCAGGTCCCTCCAAGTCCCAGCTCTCCCATCATTATTTTTACATGTTTTGTAGTTTCTTCTCTCCTGTTTAGGAGGGTTTCAGTGTATCCAGGATTGGGTAAGGTCTAATATTAAAGTCTCTCCCATAAAGTAAAATACCGTGAGCCTCCAAGACTCATCATTCAAAGATTTGTTTATAGAATTTCTATTCAGATCCTGGAGGAGCATAAACATTCAGAAAAGTAACTAAAACACCCTGCAGATATCCCGAACCAGCATAAATCTTCCATCAATATCTTTCTTTTTCATATGTGCACTCAAAGTTTAATTTACTAGAAATTAAAGTTGCTATCCCTCCCTTGGGACCTTGACTACAGGACTGATACTGATTAAATCTCCATCTCTTTTAAGTTTTTCGTGTTTCAGTTCTGTAAGATGAGTCTCTTGAAGGAGAGCTACGTCTACTCCCTCACTCTTTAATTTCACTAGAGCTTTGCTCCTCTTGATTGGATTTCCCAGACCATTTACCTTGTACTTAGTTACTTTAAACCATATCCTGTTCCCATGGTGCTACAAGGAAGGGTAATACAAACATAATCATTAACCAGTAACACAGTAACGAAATAATGAACCCATTCACAAATAACAACATTGACCTCCAATATTAAGGCTTCTTTTATGGCTGTTGGAATGTGTGATAAGTTCAGTATCATATTGGGGAATAAGTTTGATAATAAGATCCGTTTCATAACATTATTCTCATTGTTTATGATTCCTAGAAGCTATATTGTAACTATATATTTTTCTGTCATAGCAAAAGTAGGCTACTTGTCAAGTGTCCTGATGCTGGGATGCCTGGAGCCATTCTTTGAGGCTTCGCTTAGAGCTTGTATTCTCCTGGTTTCCTTGCTTTCTGCTGAGTCGCCACATCAGCTGGTTGATCTGATCCAAAAGGGAAGTTAGATTTTTCAGAACCCCTCTGTGCCACATCCACTGTTGATTCCTCTGCTGAGCTGTAAATGGCTGCGCCTTCCTTATACAACACTCTCAGTCAGACAGAATCTGGAATCTTAAATTTCTTTCCTTGAGAGCAGCTTTCATTTCTGCATACTCCCACTGCTTCCTCAGCATCTCCAGTGCATATATCATGGTCCAAGTGTGCCTTTTTTTCATTGGAAATCAAATCCTTTTTTTCTGCCGAGCTCTTTTAAGCAAATCCTGCTTAATTCTGTAGCTTGAGAACTTGACCACAACTAGTCTTGCTGGGGCCTCAGTTGGAGGCTTTGGAGAGAGCACCCCTCTCTAGGTATTTAGTGCTGTAGAAGAAGTGAGCTCAAAACCTTTCATTGGAAATTTTTTTGATTTCATGCTTTCTTCATCTCCATCTTTTACCCTATGTATTGTTATATTGTTGCATCTCAAACACCCAAATTAGTCAGTCTTGATTGTATATCTGTATATATCTATATATAGATATATATCAAATCCAGTCATTGGAGGATGTTTTGTTGTGTGTATATACATATATGTATGTGTGTGTGTGTGTGTAAGTGTAAGAGACATGTCTAGTAAGCTAGACTCTTTTTCCAACTGCAAAATCCTTCATGCAAAATCATGAGGCTGATACTGTGTCATACTAAGAAATTACAATCATAGGTCAATAATTAAACATATGTTTTACATGTTTGATATCATCTTCTACCACCACCAGCAATTTGCCCCCATCAGGTTATAGCTGATTTTAATATGTTAATTAATTATTCAATTAATAATTAATTATTGACAAAAAGAAAATGTATAAATACAGTACAAGTTAGTATGATGATAAAATCAAATTAAAATACAAACACAGATGCTTACTAACACCAACAACCAGCCAACCTTTTTATTTCTTAAACATTCATAATTCAGATATTTATGGATTGAATTTTACAGTTTGTAACAAGTGAACCTGCTGCTCTTTCTCAGATGTCTGTTGGTGCCTTGTTTCTAGGTCAGCCCCTTGATTGATGAGAACACTCGTAAGAAGTTCCTTGTTTATGCTGGAAATGACTACCAGGGTCCAGGAGGCCTGGTGGACTACATTGACAGAGAGGTCATCCCTGACTTCTTGGGAGGAGACTGCATGGTGAGATTAAGTCCTGAGTGTATTGACTTCTGCATAAAATTTTTATTTTCAAAACAAACACAGTGAAATAATGTGGATCACGCCTCTCATCTTGGCACTGCTTTCTCTATGAGTCATATAGCTTCAGAATTCAGTTTCTTTAACCCATCATTAATTCATTACCAGCAGGTATATCAAGTTACCACCTTTAGTCCAATAGATGTCTTCCAAGTTGCCTTAAAATCTCATAGGGCTTCCTCATATTAAAGCCAAAAAGTGAATCAATTAAACAAGACAAAATATGTAACCTTATTTGCTTATACTACTCTAAATTATTATTATTATAATTATTACTCTAAAGCAGTCAGACCCATTTACAGATGTTAACAGATGTTAACGTGAGAGGTCTGTCTTTTTTTTTTAATTGTCCAACTCTAGTGTGACATCCCTGAAGGAGGCATGGTCCCCAAATCTCTGTACAGGACAGCAGAGGAGCTGGAGAGTGAGGAGAACCGCCTGTTGACCGACTCCATCTATAAGAGTGCCAGTATCTTCAAGGGAGCCCCATATGAGGTACAGTATCAACTTCTATTTCAGCAGTCCGATCCATGTGTATCAATTGTGTTAAGACAAAGGTCTATTTCCTCAGGATTCCAGTTTCTGTGTATGCTGGATTTTTATGCTGTGGATTCTGTTGCCACCGCCTGGAACAAATCTACATTGCAGCCTTGTAGCGAAAAAAACAAAAAAACATTGTGATTAATGACCTGCTGTCTGCTGTTCTGTGTTTCTAATCTCCTCACACCCTCCTGCAGATGCTGATTGAGATTACAGAGGCCTCCTCCGTCATCACCTGGGACTTTGACGTATGTAAAGGAGATGTGGTCTTCAATATTTATCATTCCAAGAGGGCCCCTCAGCCCCCAAAGAAAGACACTCTTGGAGCCCATGCCATCACATCCTTAGGGGCCATCAATGCCCAGCTGATAGATAGGAGCTGGGTGCTGGGCCAGGACTACAGCATGGTGGAGAAAGCCCTCACTTGCAGGGAGGGAGAGAGTGTGCAGGTGAGAGGGAAGATGGTGGACTCTGCATTCTGTCTTTTTTTTTTTAGCTTTCAACTAGACTTTGTTTGTCCCTGTTAGCTGTTTGTTGCATCAAAGCAGTTAATCCTCTATCATCGCAGCCTCATATTAATCCTGCAGCTTTCCTCTGTTCAAACAGGGCTCCCACATAACACGCTGGCCCGGCTTCTACATCCTTCAGTGGCGTTTCCACAACTCCCCTGCCTGCACCGCCTCCAGCCTGCCTCGTGTGGATGATGTGCTGGCCTCACTGCAGGTCTCCTCCCACAAGTGTAAGATCATGTACTACACCGAGGTGCTGGCCTCCCATGACTTCAGGTCAGTTTATTTATGAGCCTTTTTTCAGGTCGTGTCCTCTTTTCTTGGTATAATACTAAAGCTGTCATTCATACATGCTGCACTGCTCTTGTGTGGGTTCATCAAAAATCAGTGTGGTGATATTTCTTGTATTTTTTATACTTGTTGTACTGGATCTATGCTACCAGTTTTTTTTACTGTAATTAATTATTGAGTAGAGTCATATCTGAGAATTAACATTTGTTCTCTGTCATTTTCTGTTATTTCTAGGGGATCCATGACCAGTCTGGAGTCTTGTCATAGTGGTTTCTCACAGCTCAGTGCTGCCACTACTTCCTCTAGCCAATCACATGCCAGCTCCATCTCACGGTAGCATCTGCCCAAAATGTGTCCCAAGGCAACAATGACACTCTGCCTTACGTTCAAAAAGATGATGTTTTTTTAACTCATAAAAGTAAATTAGAATTAAATACAACGTTACATTGATCTTCTATGTTTCTAGAGAATGATGTAGCCGTTTTTCCTGTGCCTGTGATGAATGACTTGTTACTTTTTGTGTGTATTATATTTTCTGTAAAGTATAACAAATACAAATGTGCAGTGTATATGTGAAATGTCTAATTTGTAGTTAGATGCTTGTCCATAAAGATGACATTACAGAAGACTATCTGCTGGATAAATAAATTCAAAAGTCTCATAAACAACCTTTTTAGATAAGATGAGATCATGAGTGAAAATAAAAAGCAACTGTCCCTGAAGTTGCTTTCATTGTCCACAAGATGTCAGTGCACTTTCAGATCTGAACTGCTCTCAGATCTGCAGAGTACTTAGCACTAATGTTTGTACTCACACACTTTGTCTGGTCTCCTAAGAAATCGAAAGCAGTCTTGTTTAAATAAAGAATTTATCACATAAATTAATATTCACGTATCCTCCAGAATGTGTCCTTGTACTGAATTTTGAGAGAACAATGACTGCAGTAATGGTGCTGTGTTGGAGTAGTAATTTTGAATAATCACAGAAACGGGTCATTAAACATTTTGCAGCAATAGGTAAGATGTTGAGTGAGCAGATAATATGAAATCTCTATGAAAATATACTGTACGCTTTCTAGATTCCATGTAATGTTGTTTTTGGGCTTGTTATGCATAGCTGGTGAGTTTTCTGAGGCAGCTAATTTGAATGCAATATAGTGCAGCCCCTTGTGATCTGGCACAGGGCCAGGCAGACAACTGATTTACATAAAACTTTAATTTCCATAAACTTATCAGATGCTTCCAGCTAAAGCTTAATTGATTTTCCCTGTGTTTATATGTATATATATATATAAATATATATATATGTATATATATATATACATATATATATATATATATATATATATATTGGTTTGCAAACTTGTGTCATGTTGCTGCTTATCCCAACACAAAGCCAGGTGGATTGAGTTTTCTGAGGGGCTGATTGGACAGAAGCCTGACTTCCTGCCGGCATGTCAGGGTTGTTAGAAAGAGGAAATGTACTGACTTTGCCAGGAGCTTATTTACAGAATTACTCAGCTTGGTCTAATGACCTCCCAAGACACACATTGTCTGCATAAATACCAGCACCTCTTTCTCCTGATATACCTTATTTGCTATTAAAACCTCTTCGTCTTGAGCAGTTACATGATTTAAGGCTGAATTATTTTTACTGGCCTTCACAGGCTTAAAAAATAAGGTCTATTATACAGGTACTGATAAGTTGGTAAGTAAAGTGAATCCTCAATAATGTATCATATTAAAAATGTATCAACCTGTTTAGTTGATCTGACACAACCTTGTGAAGGAAGGCTGTAATGAGATGCGTTACACAAACTGCTTCTGAGAACTGGTCAAAAGGTTAAGTTCAACAACTGCAATACATAGTTACAGCCACTGCTCAAAATTGATCATGGTCCTAACAAAAACTCTTTTTTATGGGAAAACTAAGAGTCTATAGCCATGCCTGCAGGCTAGCTAGACTATAGGTACAGCAGTGCTTTGAGTGTGCAAACATACAATAATGCATGCTGATGTTTAGTAGATATAATGTTTACCGTGTTCACCGATCAGGTTTTGGCATGTTAGCATGCTAATATTTGCTTACTGGCAAGGCACTAAATACAATGTACAGCTGAGGCTGATGGGAGTGTCAATAGTTTTGCAAAGTATTTAGTCATAGACTTGAGTATTGGACAAATTGGCCAGACGATGGTGCTAGATGAAAAGTGAATGGGATCATCAAAGGTATTATAATTAATTCTGAGAGGGAGGTATTCCAAATTTTATGGGAATCCATCCAAAGTTGTTGAAACATTTCCCTCAAAACCACACGTGAACCTGATGGTATATCACCACCAATATATCATCTTAGTTTTTGTGACAAATGCATATGTTGTTGACACACTGTTCTCTTCCACTAACCTGCCTCATAAGCTGCTGGCTGACCAAACTTTCCAACCACACTGGTGATATACGAATAACAATAATAATACTGCAGGCAGGAACACTTGATCTCTTAATTCTTTGGTGGGCACAGCAGGCGGAGAGAGAGCTGCAGTGATGATGTGCTGCTGAAATGGTCTCTGACTTCTTGTTACAGACATAAACATCCCAGCCTTCACTGGGAATATGTACATGATAATGAATCATTCTCTCTCAGAAACAGGCACTGGGATAGTCACATGGGGCTGATTTTGGCTGATGTTTCTTTTTTGTGTTTACATCTCATAAATGGCAGAAGGTAGAGAGGCTTATATGTAAAATAATGATTCATGCATCACTTTCCCATGTCAACATACACCTTTGAATTTAGAGACAGCTAACATGGGGGAGTGTTTCTCAGATGCAGGGGCTGAATGATAAATTCAAAGGGTCAAAACCAAACTATATCTTCCCATTTATTCTCTCAACCTATCAAACCTTGCAAGGAAATGGCTTTTTTCTAACTTGATATGATCACAGTAAAAAAAATCTCATCAGACATAAGGTTGTAGAGTCTCACTATAGTGTGGATCCTCATTAAAACTTAAGCCTGTGTTTCACTTGCTTCCTTCTGACAACCCTGACCTTCCCACTAATTGAAAAGGAGAGCCCTGGATTAGTGTGCACTAAATTATTTTTAGGAGGCTTGACACACTGGAAGAGAAACTTTGTGCGGGATTGTTTGTGTGTACAGATGTGGCGGTTGAATCGAGGCCTTGCTTTACTGTGATGCGTGCAACCTGAGAAACAGTAAACGCTCGATGCCTCCTCCATCTGAGTTGTGGACCTGTCTATTTAACTAATCTCGTATATCGGCCGGGTTGGAATTCATTTTCTGACTTGTTCTACTACTGGGCCTGATTAATATGTCCACAGACAAATAGATACAGTCACGTCTATTTATCTCTGATGCTTCATACTATCTTTCATATCTTCAAACATTGATTTTCTCTACAACAAGAGAGACCATCAATCTAGCTTCAATTTAGGCCAATTTTTGAGTGCTGCCCTCATTTGCAATGAACTGTCAAGGCCCTGCTTAAGTCAAATGTTGTTTTCATCAGTTTCCGAACATCAGACCTGCTTTTATTTCGCTGGTGTTTTCTTGGCTCACTGACTTCTATCGTTGACATTTCTATTCCTCTCACTCTAAATAGGCACTGAACTGTGCAGGTCAGTATGAGCCTGCCCTGCTTAAATGTTACAGTGGGAACACATTTATCCATTTGCTTGTTTGGACAGAATACCAAACTTTGCCAGCTTATCATGTATTCAGTCCACTCACAAAACTGACTGCGTGAAGACAAAATTTAACCCCTTACAATCAGCAGTCTGTGATTACAAACTCATGCTGTGCAGTCAAACATTCTTCAAACCCACTTAAGTTTATTTTAAATCCTAGTGTCAGACGAAATATGTATGAAATAATACACAAGACATCTAGAATATTTACATTTGATGGAACATTGAAGCCATTCACTTATTGCAAACATCATTTAGTGTATTACATCATTTACAAACTATACAGTAGGCTATACTGTATGAGCATGTTAAACACTGTGGGGAAAAAATTATAACAAAAATTGCTACAGATGAGGAGAAAACTGGATGTTAAGGGGTTTATCAGTTAATATAGATTATTTTTTGCATGTAAGTCAATACATTATGAAAGCCAGCAGAAACAAAAGGTGACACAGCGTGGTCAGGAGACAACATTGTTGAAAGGAGGTTACACAAATAGATTAGATTCTTTAAGCATAGCCTATAGGCCAGTACAAATACAATATGGTCTTATTGTTCAGCTGGGATATCAGTCAGGAAGCAGTCTAACTAATCAAAAATAAAATGTGTCTCAATTAATGGATATTTTTTGATGATGAAAGACATGAACAAGATTATGTCGCTTCTGGTTTTCATAGCTGTGTTAATGTGCCTGAAAAAGCATCAAATAACAAGTTTTCCTTGGAGACGGGCTCATTATCAACCATAGTAAAATCCAGACCAGACAGTCTATGATCTAGACAGGACGACCAAGAAGTAAATGGAATTTTTCATGTTTCTTCTGGGCGGAAGTCTTTTGAGGTATGTGACATATGTAACAGTAGAGAAACTGTAGAGTACGTACTAATGGATTGTAGAAAGTTTAGTGTAGAAAGAGAAAGACTGAAGGCTAGAGTGTTGGATATAAGGAGAGAGTGGAGCACCAAAGGGCTGTTAGAGAAAGGGGATAAACAGGAACAGGTTAGGAGGGCTTTATTCAAATATTTACACGAAACAGGTTTAATTTCCAGAATATAACTTCTCAATAAAGTCATGATGTTACATACTCCAGTACATTAGGTGGCGGCATGCGCCTACAACGTTGGTTTGTAGCCCGCAGAAAACACAAAAAGAAGAAGAAGTAGTTTTTTTTTTTTTTTTTTTTCCTTCTTCTTCTTTCTTTTTTTTAAAGGAATCTGGACAAACCTTCAAAACAGTGTTAAGTGTCACAATATTAAAATCATCAACACTCAAGTGATTAGGCTGCGACGGCCTTAATGGTGTTACCTAGAGTTTGATTTGAAACAGTTTCAGTAATTGGAGGGAAGGTTTCCACCTGTCAGGAATCACTTTGATGTGTAAAGCAGGCCACTGATACACTGACTTCACCAATCAGGCTCCTTACTGCCTCACGACGTTCAACAGCTAGTCACAAAATTTGTCTTGTGCTGTTCGGTGTTGTTCAGGTGAAAACAGCTGAGAGAGCGGCGAGAGAGAACCAGAACAATAAAGTCACGGACCGTCAACTATAACATGAGTTGAAAACTTCATCATGAAGCTCCATGGAGAAGCCGAGGCATGAGCTGCAGATTCAGGTGATAATTCTCTCTAGGTGTTATCTCTGTCACATTGTTTTCACGTTGTCATTTGGTACATGGTTATGAAAATACAATTTAAAGCTAACTGAACTAATTAGGCTAGCTACCCTACAAGTGTGTGTGTGTTTTAATGAAATACTGTGTGTGGACCTAGCTAAAGTGTTGGTTGCTCAGTTCTTCTGTTGGCTATTGTATGAGGTTTTCACCCAATCCAATTGGCCTCCTGTCACTGCAGACATTTTGTCATGTCATAGCAAGAAAACCACAGGTGTAGTTAATAACATTAACGAGGCCCGATTTAGCTTGACCAGTTTCAAGTGCCTTGGCTCCCTGACTGACTGATTAATGGAACAGAGCCCTCATGAATGGTTTTAATTACACCTGTGCTTTTTCTGCTATGAGGAGTCAAAATGGCTACTCTGAAAAAGGCCCATTATTGTATATTGCTGTATTACTTTCGCATATTCCATATTGATGTATAAAAAGCTGAAATTACTGACAATGTCATAAAATGAGTACCATAGGCCTGCTATGTGTTTGAGTTTTAGCCAAATGACTTCA